GATGATGTATTTTGGAAAGCATCCCTATGAACTACAACTTTATTTAAATAAAAGTAGAGTTTAGACACTCAAATCAGTACACAATCAAGGAATTAGTCACACAGGAAGCTTCAACTTTGAAGAACATGCCTCCCCTATTTTTCCTAATTGGTTAATTGGCTAATTGGCTTCGTAACAAAAAATTTCTTCACAACAGAGTAAGCTTCCCGTTTACAAAATGTGCGGACGACTCTCCCTTGTACATTACCCTTTTATCTTCTCAAATATGAATACCACATACAAGATAAGAGCAAATGATGTTCGAAGACGCTTCACACGCCAAATACTAGGAACTGACTCAACTCTCGATTACACAGATAGATGTAAGAACCTCTCTAGAACCTTTATGGCACCGTAGACTAAGGAACAATCTAATATTTCTCTACAAAGAAGTGTACAGACACTCATTTCTAGCCTCCTGCCCGTATACGCCTCATGACCCAGCCTACAGACTAAGAAATAACGCATATACGCTACTGACGTTACTGACCAGCAAGCATTGATGGTGAGGGCGATAACTTCAATCCACCCGTGTTTGTGGGGACAGAACATTTTGTATGTATCAGGCTCTTTATAATTGAGAATAAGACAGTCAATCTAAGATATAGATTGTCTTCCTACGCTCACCACTCAGACTCATGTTTCCAATAATATGCTGGATTAGCTATTCTACTAAGACAACCTATAACATGCTAACTCGGACTTTTACACTAGGATTGCGTGGCTGACATCGGATGGACAAAAAAAGAAAAGAAAAAAGACAATAAAAGATATAGTCACTAGTATTCTTAACACTTCACCCTCTATATACACACCCTTCTAATAAACCGCTTCCCTTGTACCAACCTTGACTTCCCTTCCTTCATGTGAGCTTACTCCAACTTGTTAAACATCACTACTCGTTGTTCTTTATTAGTACATTCTCTAATATGGAGCCTCTGACTTCACTTCACTCTAACAAGACATAATATGAATTTATTCTAATTTATTATACCTCTGTCCGTTCTACTACACAATGTTAAGCAACCTTTGGCGTTCATATCCAAGTGCCTTGCTGCTCCTCTGTTTCTTTCTTTTTTTTCTCCTTCAGAATCTTGCTCTGAGAGCACAGCTATGAAACTTCTGACGTTTGGAGCAAACTTAACGTACGCGTCCTCTCAAGGTCATAGTTTACAGCAAGCGCTCTACGATTTCACTTTATAACAACTATAAACTTAATAAGTTGGGAAGCATTTTGCGAACCAACAAATGTTGTAATTTATAGATCATGCCTGTAAAAACGGTGTGTACCTGCACATGCAGAAATATATTATTATTATTATTATTTTCATTAACACATTAGAATGCTCTTGCATAATAAGTATCTTAATAAAAGAGAATTTGACTGAGTATTCATACCTTGACTATTCCCCCATGAACATTGTCTGCTCTGCTTCTCATCTTTTCTTTTTCTTACACCCTTTTTCAGCCCCTTTGGATATGCCACAGAAAACAGATATGGAACCGGTGACTTTGACGTGGACCATCGTTGAAGCCTCAGTTACTCCAGAGGGATATAAGATTGCGGTTTATAGCAGCCCCCAATTTCGCATGGATTTATTTTCGACCATCAGTTGAACGTCGCGACGCAACCTTCATAAGACATGCCAACTGTAATATTGACAATACGAGTCTTACTAAAACCATCTACATTCATATTTTATAAAATATCAACCCAGCTGAGTAATTTACTACGGTGAAAATTGTATCTTTTGTAACAATTCGATCTTGTCTGTAAACTGGTATTCCTCAGGTAACAAACTGCTATTTCAGAATAAATTACTGTTATTAATTCGTTAGGCGTGCGTGATTTCTTGACTGTGATAGGTTCTGTGTGATGGAGAATGGCCGCTCCTTTGCTTTACAGAGGACAGGTGCCTTGAGCATCAGTACTGTGTCCGAGAGGGTTCACGGAGTCAGCTCTGACTTGACATACCTGAGTATTTACAGTAACGCTGTGCTTTAGTAGTCGTTCGAATACAAAATTCAGATTCTGGAGATAGAATTCTCTGTTCGGATTTACTGTCAAGCAGTCATCTCCATATGTATATACGATACTGAGACATCAGAAGACGTCGTTAATGAATCTGTGGAAGTTTTGAGCATCATCTCTTAAGCCAGAAGGAACTCGCGAAAATTCGTAGATTTCCAAACGAGTGATGATACTGTTCTGGAAATGTCGTCAGCAGCCATGGGATTATGGTTACACGCTTTATCCAAATCGATTTTTGATGAAAAAGTTATACCTTTCTAGGGACTATGAGCAAGGGAGATGCCCATGGGTTGTTCGGTGGTCGTACAGTTACTAGGTCTATCATACGATCGGATTCACTTACAGTCAACTTCAGCTTGTCGGGAGCTAGTTGGCGCGCTTGCGAGAATAAAGGTGGTCTTGTAGTCGCGATATGCAACATTGCTGGTTACACACGGAAATTTTGGTGGCGTTTGGTTTTTCTCAGTGTACTTATCGGGTATTTGCTGGTAGCATGGGTCGATCTTGTGTCTTACTGTGACTGGGGATAATCTACACCTGGAAAAGGAAGTCATATAAACATAACTTCGTATTTCCGTTTACTAACTTCCGTTTGCTCATGTGGGTGAATTAGTTATGTTGTAGTAGGTCTGTACCAATGATTGGCATAGAAATATATGCGACAACGAAGATCCAGTGAGTGGGTTTGCGTAAATTCACACAAATGGCTTACTGTATGTGACGATCGGTTTCCCATTTTTCACCTTAAAGTTGTAAATTGCTTCATGAAGAACGCTAACTTGTGTCTCACTGTTGACAAGTTAGGAAACTTTCGTCATCACGTCAGTGGTGTATAGCAGACGGCTTTGTACGTCGGTTACGGTTACCGTTAACGAATGCCGAGTCGGAAGTTACTCGAAATGTTTTTCGTGTCGGTTGGTTGGGAGCTTCTGAAACTGTAGGGTTTTCTACAATTTCTAGAAGACTTGCCTTACTTATTATGGTCTGTCTGTCATCGTCTAGAGACATGTTCTTTTCGTGGAGGACTCCTTCGAGAAGTTCGGGAGCGTATGCGGTCAATACGAATAGGAGGGTAACGTGTCAGAGTATGGCAGAGTTGTGTGACGCCTTTTCTCATCATCTGAGACTTTTGTTGGACTGAGTAGATCACGGCGTTCGAAGTTCTGGTGATCTCCAGAATCCGGTAGGCAGATGCATCCATTTCGTTTACAGTGTAGTTTTAAAATGAAACAAGCTTCACCTGCACCTGTTGAGGAAGTTAAGACAAGAAAAGCTCACTAAGCAGACCACCGTCAAAGGTCCGTTGAACAATAATAATAATAATAATAATAATAATAATAATAATAATAATAATAATAATATATTTCTGCATGTGCAGGTACACACCCCCTCACTCATAACAATATGTCTGAGTCATGTCGCAGATCGATATGGTTGAGGAATTGGTTCAACTGTTGTCGGTTGGTGAGATCTTCCTGCATTAGAACAGTTTTTTTCGGTTCTGAAACATCACTAGTAAACATACTAGGTATGACGTACCTGCTGTAAACGCTCGGTAGTGACTTCAATGCTGCGAGAAATTGTGGACAAAGGTCTGTCACGCCGTGTTCGTGGAAGTCAGTTTATATGTAACAGAACTAGGCATCTATGTTGTCGGGCCAAAATGGTATTAGCTGAAACGAGGATGGCGGAAGAGTCTTGGTCTTAAATAATTTAGGAGTCTGTTCGGTCATAACGAATCTAAAGTATAGCATCAAACGAGACTAAATATATCGAAAAATACTAATAAATCATCACAATATTTAAAAATCGAAGTAAAAAATGATAAAGCTTTAAAAAGAACAGACTCACAGTCTAGAAATCGGTGTACTGGTCCGCGTTAGGCTCGATAATAAAAATGCCATGAGCATTCAGAGTTTGACAACATCTTAACCATTAACACCCTTTGTAGTCGAAATATGCCAACCCAGTCAATTCGAAAGTCAGAAGCAAAGAGGTTAAAAGATATATTTGATGAAATATCGATATATCGAGAAGTGATCAGTCTAAGCTGGTTGGCGGTTGCAGATGTGAAGCACGGAGTACCCGCTGATGATTTGGTGCGGATTAATGACCGGGCGTTTTTGACTAGGTGCGTCCAGTAAAACTAATATGGTCAGCACCAAGTGTCGAAGACTTGCAGAGCTATTGATTTTGGGGATTTATTTACCGTCATGTCCATATTCTTAAAAGTCTGTGTTGGCCAGACTCATATTTGACTGGATCCGGTTGATTTAGGACAAAACTTCTAATGGTATCAGTAGAACTGCTCACATTTTCTGAATTGAAATGACTTGTCCTGGGATCTTGACCTCATAGTATCTTGTAATAAACTGTTACAATTTCCAACATGAACTTCCAGAACTTCAGTTTTATCCTGTCTGGATTAACGAGACAATATACTATCAATATCACAAGTAGTAATAGTTAGTGTTGAAGATGGCACAGGTATTCAGTGTTTGACAACGCTTTAACCAGTAACACCTTCAGACATAACTCCTACTCACCAAGAGAAATGAAAAGACAAAATCGAGGAGATCAGAAGTTGTATCTGACGATTGTCAATATATCAAAATTGTCTGATCTAGTCTGGCTAGCAATTGCAGTAGATGTTGAGCACGGCGTTCCCACACGTGATCTGGTGCGGATGCATGACCGAGCGCCTTCAGCTAGGTGAGTCGATTAAAACTAATGCGGTCAGCATCCAATGTCGAAAACCTATAGAGCTATTTATTTCGTGGATTTATTTACCGCTACAATGTAACTGATTTAGTAGTCTATCTCTAATACTAAATTCTGAAATCATATCTATGTGTCGTTGTGGATCTTCATAATTCAGGTTATATGTTAATGTGCTTTATTTACACTAATTTCATCCTTAAAGCGACCCGTATTTTTAAAGGATCTAAACATGGAAAGGTTAGCGGGTACCCGTAAAATCTTGGAAGATTCGTTGAAACAAAAGAACTGGTTCACAGGTTTATTGGAGAAGGTGGAAAAAAAGTCAGGTGTCGACAGACTATACATCGTTACTGGTAATAATAGTGTTAGAGATTATAATTTATAATTAGGAAGTGCTGTATTGATATTTCTGTACCTAATTTTCGGTTATGGGACTAGCTTCATTGCAAACCTTATTGGATTCATCTATCCAGCATACAGATCGTAACTTGCGCAAAATTGTTTTAAATTTTCAGGATCAAAGCATTAGAGACGTCTGATAAGGGGGATGATACAAAGTGGCTCACTTACTGGGTTGTTTTCGCAACATTCAGTGTTATCGAGTCATTAACTGATATATTGTTTTTTTGGATACCATTGTATTCGCTGCTAAAGGTTTGTTTTTACTTGTGAATTGACCCACTCAGTCTCTATTTTTCTTGTTTATGATGATCCCAACATCACCTAACGGAGCTATCATAATCTACGAAAAAGTTATTAGACCTAACTTTTTGGCTCACGAAAAAAATATTGACAAGTTTATCAATGAGGCATCAGATTTGGCTGGTGATTTTGGAAATGCCGGTAAGTGACATCTGCGGAATGTGTGGTACGAATTACCGTTTACTTTCGAATCTTTGGGTTACTAGGTTGGTCTGAATAACATCAAACCACAACAACCTTACTCAGTACTTCCCTCCGGAAACGTCATCTATAAGTTGACTGGCAAGGTTACGTAAGGCAGTTAGATTAAGATCTCAGCTAGAGCCCGAGAACTGGACGTAGTTCCATCTGACCGGTCGTCCTAGTCTGCGAGAAAGGAGGAAATACATTTTGCGGTGACAGCAGAGAAATCAGTCCGACTATCATAGTACCTGGAATATTAGCTTCAATAATCCAAGTGTGTGTGAAGGGTGAACTTAGGAAAACCAAACTGGTTTCAAAACTAAACGGATGTGTAGACCTAATGTTTGCCCTCCGCCAGATTACTAAACGCAGATGTACCCACTGACTCCCAACTATGGTTGTGTTTGTTAACTCTAAGGCAGTGTTTGGCTCCGTGAATCAATAGGTTTTGTAGTTACCGAAAGGCGTTCCAATAAAGTATATTAGTGTTATGAATCATCATCGGAATCGATAACTTCAAATAGTATGTATCTGGGGTTTCTGAATTCCCTATTATTATTCATCTTTGTCATATACATTCGTTAGCCCCCAAATGCCTTGGTACGGCCGAGAGTTGGGAGAATCGGCTCTCCCTCTCGAAATTCTCTCACACGGCCACGCGTATACAGCCTCTGCCAGGGAAGTCCTACTCACTGCCTTCTCGTGGCGTGGTTGTTGTTTACGAAAATGAGAGAACGAAAAGCGAATGTCCGGCGCTTTAACCGGATTCCAAACCAATGGTGCACATGGGCTCCAGTAACCTGAAGGAACAAATGGCGTATGAACCAATTGTTGGTCACCGGCTTCCATGGGACTGCATCTCCTTACGATGCTCCACTGCCTTGTGGATCAGACCTTCAAGTCGAAGGCTCTGGGTGTGGCCTCTTAAGAAAACCACCTGCTTCGGTTTGGGCACCCGGGCGGTATCACAGCCCTCACACATCAAATGAGATTTGTGTGGCGCATATGTATTTGGTGTCTCCTTGTACCAATATCTATGTGTTAAAATAAAATAAATATAAATTCGTTAAGAGATAACAGTTTCATCGTCTAATAATGACAAAAACTGAGAAGTACAGTTTTCTAACCATCTTAAGTATCAGTGGCAGGATGTTTGAGATGCGTTCCTCTCAGAAATTCAAAATATTGCTTCTGGACCGGTCTGTATCAATTTCTGAATTGATGATAGGGGGTGAAGTAGCTGAGTGTGTCGGTCGTTTCACTTATCCTGTCTCATCAACCTTGGTTGGTTGTTTGACAAAATCTCGGGACAACTTGCGAGATATTCGTCTGCCATCCAATGGACGAGTTTTCTGTGCATCGTTTTGCTCTGTTCTGTTTTATCGCTGTAAAACCGACTACCTCAGGGGCGTATTTGGAGCTATATCTGACATCTCAAACCACTGTAGCTAGAGAATCGTGAATAACCAACATATGCTTGTCCCATATAGCTTTCTTTCAAGCCACGACACCATTTCATAAACCTATCACTGCTTTTTCTAAGCAACCCCAGCGTTGGGAAATAATGCATGATGTGAAATTCTCTGTGACAACGTTCATGGTACATGTCCAAGTCACCAAAGTTGGTCTTTCAAGACAGTGACACTAATTGAGTTATTGTCAATGTGCCCGAGCACACGTTGCTGAATCTCTACATTACTAGCGTGGTGTTTCTACTGTATGTTGATAGTCCTTCATAGACAACAGTGACCAAACATAGTCACTTAACATCCTAAATACGGTGAGGCTAGTTTTCACAAGCACTGAGCAAAACTATTCTCATCGGCGCGTTGTAGGTCCGAACTTTTACAGCCAGATTAACATCACAAAGGCATCAAAGTTGGTCAAGATTAGCATAAACGTCTCTGGCTTTCGATATACTTGAGTTGATCCCATCGCTCACGCCATCACCAACAATTACCCATATACACAGACTTTCCGACCACCAACTACTCACAACCAAGAATGAGTGCAGGCACTGGTTCTGCCAGTTTTGTACTATGTGCTTGAAAGATGTCAAGCGCATGACATTCCTAAGGACACTGATTTTTAACTAGTGAAGTAGCAGTTGCATGGTTTGAGTATCATTTCATAGTAAGACAATATCGTGTGCACACTCAAATTAACAGATGCATACCGGTAGGACTATTTCAGGAAGACAATTTTTTCTGACAATACTTTTAATTCACTGGTAGTTTAATTAGTAGAGGTGAAAATGAAATGATATCACAGTTCAGTTGGTACTTGCACTTGCATCCATGTGATGCATATAAAGTTATGTATTTGTCAAAAAGGTTTACACTCATTTCAAAGAAAATGTATGTGGTCCAAAAAAGTCTAGGCTCATCCAACTATTAGAAAATATGGCCAAACTGTTCAGCTGAATTAAGTTATTGTTATGGGTTATTCTGAAAGGAAATACCGGGAAGGCTGTTAAACGCTTTAAATATGAAACGATCTTACTTCATTGGTAATTACCAATCCGAGTCACGTAGGGGAAGACTTTCGAATTTTGTGATCGAAAACATTGGGTGAAATAAGTCAAAATCAATTGTTATAACACTAATTATGTATCTTTTCCCATGTTTTTTTGCACTTTAACTTCTTGTTATTGCATTCATATTTCGTCTTTATCTTCTTTGTGACCAGATAATATTAATATTTTATTCTTGTTAAGATGTTATATTTAAAGGATCTTGTGTATTTCTGAAGTTCATTTGTTTGGATATATCCTTCCTGTTGTGATGAGATGAAGTGTTTGTGCTTTTGAATTTCAGCTAAAAAGAAGGCTACTGAAGCTATTTCACATGATTTAATGGGAAAAAAAGACTAATACTACCAACTAGTTTTTATTTTGATTGCGAACCGTAGACTATTCACTAAAATATGCCAAATAGTTTTAAGAAACTCCCCAATGTCCATTATTCGTTGCTGCATGTTCTAAATTGTGGACCCGTTTATGTTTGCCATTGACTTTTTATTTTATCTTTTTCTCTCGTTTTCATTCCAAGTTAAATGTACTTTCTGCTTTGGCCCTTATCTTCCTAAGTTTATTTAAATCCGCAGTATCCAATTTAAAAACATTATTCGTAAAGATAATGACTTTACATCAAAAAGGTAACTGTATGTTGTAATTTTATGTAAACTGGACATTACAAAAAATGCATCCTAATTTTCGAGTTAATCTTTTCTTTACCATTAGACAAAATGTGACGGCTTAACAAAATGTACGTTTTTTATGCTTTGTCTTTTCATTTGTACGTATATGTTGTTGAAAGATCTCTTCATTTCCTCATTTGTATCATTGCTTCTTTTCGTGTCACTAACCTCTTATTTAATAAAGAATAGAATGTGAAATAAATGACACTGACTTATTTCGCACAATCATAATTGTATTTCCAACAAATTTATTTAGTTTACCATTGGATATTTCACTAACCAATGGAATACACTTAAAACTGTGGATTTGAGGTGATTTTCTTATGTCACCTCTCCACACGTTACGTCTATCCACCGTTAATTTGGAGTTGCTTATCTCTTCGGTAATAAGATCGTTTGTATGTTTTGTCGTTTGTGAAGTCGTATCTAAATGATTTGAGTTGTTGACTTTCAATTGTTTTATTGTGTACCTTTCAATCAGGAATGTGGTAGTTCGTGTTCGTAAGCAGGGACAGGTACATTATCCGAATCATTTTTCCCTCAGTTGTTCAGTTGGGACGCCCTCCGAAATATGGAGTTCCGTTTACGGTTGTAAGCCTGAATCCATTATGATTCTAAAAAGTACTGAGTTAATAGCCTTGAAACATTTAGCGAGACCTAGAGAAAGGTCGGGAAAAACGACAAATCTAGACTAACAAGAATCTATCTAATGAGTGTGTTCACTGGTGAACAAGAAAGATGAAAGATAGAGGAGTCAGGGGCTATAGATTTCACGAAAAAGTTTTTAGACTCACTAGGAAATGTATAAGGTAGTTCGCAACCTCCCCCCGCATTCGAAAGTTACGGAAGTGTACTTCTAGGAGAAATATTTCACGTTTCATTAAAGTTCAGGTTAAGTATTGACAAATGTGTTTAACACATCTCTCAATATCAAACTGTACTACAGTTTTATATTTAATTAAAAAGTATGTTTCTGATAAAAAACTACAGGTATATCTGTTCCATAGGAATTTGGATTTCGTTCCTTTTAAATGAAGGATAGTTACATAAAAAGCTTTCTCATCATTTGAAATGATCCACAGAATATTAGGATGTTTTTCTTGAAACATTTAATGACACTAGAAATCCATCATTTTACGAATGTTCAGAAAAAACAAAACATTAATGGGGATGTATTGTGTAGTTTAAAATACTGATTGCATACTAGTTTTCATCAATAACCTTTAACAGTATTTTACATCAAGAGATACTCAAAGTGATTACGAAAAGTAAGAAACCGTCGGTTGTGTTTGGAGTTACTTAATTAAGTTATCTTGAGAACTGTATCATCACATGGCCCAACCATCTCAGTCGATGAAGATTTACAGCCTCATCAACTGATTTACCATCATTCCCTAATATCTTGCGTGTAACTTCACTATTACTTACCAGGTGATCTTAACAGATGCGAGCAATATTTATAAGGCGTCTGCGGTTAAATACTAGTAGCTTACGAGTATCTTCTACTCTTAACGGTCATGTTTTGCAGCCGTAAACTAGAACTGGACGAACTACCGCACAATATACTCGTCCTTTAATTGATAGACAGATATCTCGCCTTCGCCATAGGTGACGTAAGTTGGCAAGAGCCAAACGAGCTTTCTGAACCCGTGCAGAGATTTCGTCAGACACCAATCCATTAGGGCTGATCAGACTTCCAAGATAAGTGAAGTTGTCAACGCTTTCGACTACTTCACTCCCTATCCTTAATTCAAGTGTTCACGCAGACCAGTCCTGAAGCAACAGCTTGCATTTAGAGGGAGAGAAACACATCCCAAACATTCTGGCATTGTTGCTTAGTTCCACCAAAAGACTGCATTTTATCAGTGTTTCCACCAAACTGGACTGTGTCATGTGTATATTATAAGTCAATAAGTGGATCTCCTGTTAGATCAAGTCCCGAAAATTCAGACGAAGATAACGTTATTCCCAGTAATAGATTTATGATGAAACTAAGCAATAATGGAGATGATGGACAGCCTTGCCAGACATCACTTGGGGTTCTAAATTCAGATGGCAGTTCGCCATAATCTCTGACCCGACTGGTAGTGTTCGAGTAAAGAGCCTTCACAAGGTTTATGTACTAGTTTTGATTGAGAGAGCGTGACCGCAGTGCCCAAGGGACAGCTGCTTGAGGTCGGTCACACACGACCCTTCTGTGCGTAATTTCGGTGTTAGCTGCGTGCTTGTTGAGACCTTACCGCCTGAAACGGATATTCGTGGGATAAGGCGAGGTGTGTATTTTTAGGGTCGACCTTTCATAACCCCTCCCATGTTTGTGGGAAGGCAGCATAAATTTTATTCTGGTTATCTGAAGAAAACATCTTACTGCCGTCACCTCTCTACAGTCAGCAATACGACTCCGCCTACGGACCTTGGGAAGACGTAGATATCTCATTGAAAACACTAAATAGCCGTAATCTACGACTGGAAACATTCGATAAAGTTCAGAATCGGTCACAGTAGAATTTACTGACCAGCTTTTCAATCCATAATTTTTGCTCAGCATTATTTGATGGCTGATTCATATTTCTCATGCTTAGTTTTCCGTTGCGTCTGATTTTGCCATTCTCTGCTGCCCATCTTGTTAATTTTCTCTTTTTCTGTGTTCAGTTGGGGTTTGAAAAAGTGGAACGATTCATATTTGCGTTAGGTCCTAAAATTATTGTGACTTTCTGTCAAATGAATTTTTAACTGAATCACCTGGGTATGCTGTCAGTGAATGTATTTCTGTGATCTTGAAACTATTCTTTTATTGTCGTATCGAAGTAACGTCCTACCCATTCTGTCCACTAGAAATCTAACTAAATTCTTATTGTATCAGAGAATAACGAACCTTTAAAAGTATGAGTATTGGTTGGATCATACATCTTATATAATCCCCCCCATATGATATGAACATTAAGGAGTATCATTTTATTGGCACTTTTATGCGTATATATATATATATATATATATATATATATATATATATATATATATATATATATATATATACACTTGTGCCTGTTACCCCTAGCAGAGAAGAAGAGGCTTCCAACCAGGATTCTCGATCGAACTCTGTCCTCCTCTCTGCTTTCACGATGTTTCCAAGTGCTATTCATTCTTTTGATGTATGCTTCCAACTCCCAATGAAATGTGCTCCTTGGTCTTCCTCTTTTCATTTCAACTTCAGGACTCCAAGTTAGCGCTTGCTTCAATGTGCAGTTTGATTATTTGCACAGTGAATATCCTATCCACCCACAACGTCTTTTGCCAATTTCCTCTTCAACTGGAAACTGGTTTGTTCTCTCCCACAGTAGTTTATTGTCGATGACATCCGACCAACATATGTTGAGTATCTTGAGTAGACATTTGTTTATAAATACTTGTACCTTTTTGATTATGGTTGTGCTAGTTCTTAAAGTTTCAGTTCCGTACAGTAGGACTGATTGACTATCTGTCTTGACGTTCGCATTGAAGATTGTAACTTTGATGTTGGTTGAGAGACGGTTGTTTGGAGTTGCGTATGTTGTTCAACTGTAGGGATGCTGCGCTTACTTTTCGAATCCTTGTCTCTACTTGTGCATCAGATCCTCCTTGTACATCGATGATGATGCTGCTGACTAGGTGGGATAGGATTGCTAGGCCATCTGCGAAGTTCGAATTGTCTAGTTGCATGGAAGCTGTCCATTGTATTCCGTGCTTCCCGTCAGATGTGGAGGTCTTCATAATCCAGTCGACTACTGTAGAGAAATAGTGCGTGTTCTAAATGTGGCTCATCAACTTTGTAGAGGCTAGTGTCCTCTATATCTGACTCCAATAAATAGTATCCCGTTAACTGAGTATTTAATGCAGGCTGAATCTCCTAGTAGAATTATCGATTTACTCGAGATTATTCAAAAGTCTGAACACCAGTTATAGAGATAGTTTACTGTTAAAAATTGGTAAAATCCACAAGTGTACACGAAGCAAGCACACAGTGAAAAAAAGTGTATGTGTGTGTGAGTGTGAGTGTTAAAAATCCATATATATATTTATGAGTGTTAATCAAGTATGGTTAAATTATTGATTATCTGTGTATTACAACCAATGGGAGAATAGAAATGAAAATTGATGTGCAGACATGTGGTCGGTCATACTCACACAGAAATTTACATGGTGGACTAAGTGTCTAAATTACAGTGAGCGGATAAATAATACAGTAATGGAATGGGCTTACTACATGTACATAATGTTCTCCTATCCACACAGTCAAACGCCCTATCATAGTCAAGGGAGTTGGTGTATAATGACCAGTTCCATTCACTTGATGGCTTAATAAGGAAGATCTGTGTGTGCTGCCTCGATGTATGGTGGTTTGAGTGGAGCTGATCGATTCATGATTCGCTCAAAATGTTCAAAGTACCCACTTGTTCCTCTGTCCCTGAATGTCGGTGATTGTCCTGCCTTATTTGTCCTTGACCGGTCTCTCTGGTTTACTAAATTTCCGTGCCAGTTCCATCATTGTGTCATATAGTTGTTGACAGGTCAGGTCCCTTCCTGGATACTTCACTACGATCAACTGAAGCATGTCATAGAACTGATCTTTGTCGTCCTCATTGCTATCTTTGATGGGTGAATAGCACTGAACAGCACTTATTTTAACTCCCTTCTTATTTGATTTGAAGGATGCTCTTATGATTCTGGATCCATGAGATTCCCATCCTATAGGTGCATCATGTGTTTCTTTGAACAGCATCAGTTCAACTCCCTGAGTATGTGGAGCATTTCCTTCTCCATGACCAGAGCACAACATCACATCTTCTGAATCTAATCTTTTCTGTCCAGCTTGTGTCCAATGGGTTTCATGATTCCGAGCACCGTCGACTTGTATCTCATCATTTCCGTAGCTATTCGACTGGTCTTTTCGGTCTCCCACAATTTTTGGACTCTCCATGTGCCTACATTAATTGTTGCTCTGGTTGTTATGAGAGGCATCAGCCTCGGTACTTCCGGGGAATCTTGGGTTTCACTATGAGGCATCATAATCCTGAATAAAGACCCCTCAACTTAGAGGACAGAGTTTGAATGGTATGAATTGTTTATTCTGGTTAGTGTTTTTTTTACGAGATGGTGTTGCCGACCCCATACCCAACACTCCTTTATTTGAGTTTGGTACCGGTGTTAACCCCAGA